AAAAGTAATGAACAACAAAGAGGTAAGATTTTTACAGAATTTATGTTGTAAATGAATAAATCTAAACAATCATTAAATTTTTACGTACAATCTTTCTTTACACCCATCGCCGAAAGATGATATTCATTTTCTCAATACGTTTGCAACGCCCGGAAACAAACTTCAGAGTAATGGCTGTTTTAAACATTCTCCCGGCCGCAAAACTGACATAATTGATTTTCAATTTGGCAGACACATTAGAAGGTCTTGCACGCAGATTGCTATTGAAAGTACTACGTAAATTGAGGACACTTCTGTTTTTCAATTAGGAGTTAAAAATTGGTTTCTCTTTTCCATTACTTATGTACATGAACGTATACTCGCTGGGCGATGCTGCAGAAAAATTGACCACATCCACCCAATGTTAAAGTGCATCAAAATTCAATATTTTTTTTTTTGAATACCTTTATAAGACGCAGAATCAAGTTTCAAAAACCCCATAAGGCATACAAACTCTTGGCCAATTTTAAATTTCAAATGAACCTAAACATGTCCGCCTGTCCGTCTACGCAGCTTGATAGTATTTGTGGTGAACATTCTCACGTTAGCGAAAATACATCGCCTGGAAATTTGCAAACGAATTTAGAAGTGACCCAAACTTTTGAAAGGACACGCCTACCCGAAAGAAATTTTTATTTTGAAAATCACAAAAAAATCGGGTTCGCCCACTTCATATTGTAGATCATTAAAATTTGGTGTTTTGTACTTTTTTTATCGTAGCGTAGATTTGACTTGAGAACTATTTACAAAATTTAAAGTAACCTTTTTGCAGAAACTACAGTTTTAACAGTTCATACCAGTTGACTCTGTTGAGCTCACACATATTTGATCAACTTTTTCCTCGAATATCGCGAGTCAATGGCCTTTCCCTTCCGCAAATCCTTTGCTTACAAACCTTTTGAAAGCCACATACCGGTTTTTTTATAGTGATATTTTTATTAATCCGTTTATTTGATCGATTTCTGCGGAATATGTTTTTAACCTCTCCATTAAGACGAGAGAGACCGACATTTAAATGTACTTTTATTACTTTCCCAGCATTTTCACAAATATAGTTGTTCACAAAATAAGGTACTTTTCATGCAGGCTTGTTTTATCAAGGGTATGATATTCGTCTCAATGTTATGCCCAAATGAATTGTAGTAACAACGCAGAAGAAATTTTTTCAAATATCCCGAAATTGCTATGCTATCCCTAGCGAAATACTTGAGGGGACATGATGCATTGTGAAAAAAGAAATTATTCTTCATTCAACTGAACAAGCCTTCAAACAAATTATTGGCGAAGTAATTCCTGTCATGCACTTTTAAAAAGCTTTGAAGTAAGACAGTAGTCTTGCCAATAGACTCGCCACTTTTTCGACCCACATAGAGCATTTTATCGATTCTATCATAAGTCTTGCCAAGTTTAAAATTCAGATCGCAAGTATTGTATACCAATGCAGCGATCTGAATATATGAGAATGCGAGCACTTAAATAGAATCTCGATACAGAAGTAAGTATAAAAATTTATTTAACAAACCAAAAAAATTGTTCTGCTCAATTGTAAACTATTTTTGATGGTTGCGAAGATACATCAATTTAAATAGCATTCAAAAAACTCTGTATACATTATAGCTGTGGAAAAATGATCTTACAATGTGTTCATTTTTTATCCGTAAGATCGCGACAAGTTTTTTGCCTCTTATACCCTCCACCGAAGGATGGACCTGGATTCATTTTCTAAAAACACTTGCAACAACCGTAAAGACACTTGTAAGAGCCCATACAGTATATGTGTTCTTAATGAAATTAAATATATCTATCTGTATGTCTGTCTGTCGAGCTGTGTAAGGTCTATGGTAAGCATTCTCCCTTCTTTTGGCAAAAAGACTAGAAGCTCTTGTAGGAAGATTAGTATTGAATATGGGTCAAACCAGTTACCAGGACACACCCATATTTTACAAATAGCCAGCCATGACTATCCAGTGTTAACGAGTATGGAACTTTACTTTTCTCTTTCGATTATTTTAGTTTTCTTCGCAAAAAGCTGGTGAGTATTAAAGATGCGTTCAAAGCCGAAAATAATTTTCTTTCTTATTTTTATATTAATTTTTCTCCTATTCTCCGTTTGCGTTTATATTAATTCTCTTCTTCCTAAATTAGCTATTTTGCAGCCAGGTAAGCAAGCGTAAGTAAGAGTAATTTTCTATTTTCTTCCTCATAGAAGACGCATTTCAATGAAAAGGCCAAATGTCAGAAGGCATTCTTGTTTTTTCATATCGAAATGTTTCATTCTCACTCTTTTTTATAAAGGCTGCAACCCAAGCTGAAATATTGATATCAAACCATTAGTTCGACTTTCACAAATAGCATCAAATCACTGAGGCAAGCCACGGATACGCGAACGTCATTGAAGAATGATTTAAAAAAACCTATAATAATTTCTTTATTTTTGAAAAGTATTTAGTAAACTAGAATTAAAGTTTCGAGATTTAGAAAGGAAAGCTCGATCGCTTCATTCCATTTTCTCTTTGATTTTTTGATGAGCAAAATATAGCGGAAGACTGGAAAGAGAAAACCAGCCTCAAAAGAGAGTACGGACAAAACAATTAGTACAATTAATAGTCACCTACCTAATGTTCAGACTGAAATATTAACTAAACTGCCGAGAAAACAAAATTCTCCTTAAACCATGGGACCTAAATTTGTATATACTAGAGATCTAGAGAACTACGTAAATCTACAAAAAGCTTTTATCGCGCAATTATCGAACTTACTTAATTTAGACAAATAAACAGTACAAGTATTACAATCGGGCAAGGCCGACCATTAGATACCCCAAACCATTCCGCCTAGTACAATTATTCGCTTTAGTAATAATACACTAAAAATTACGTATTATTTTCATGCAAATGCATACTTTTCATGAAAGCCCGCATATTCAATTAAACCAAAACGTCACATGGTCACATGATTCAAATTTAGCAAACTTCACTTGCTTCCCAAAAATTATATTATTTCTCAGTTTCCGTTATAAATTACTAGAAGTTCGGTTTTATCCCCATATAAGTGCTTGCTTTTCATGAAAACCTCTAGATATGTTGGAATATAAAAAGTAGACCTATGTAATCCAAATTCCCCAGCGTTCATGTTTCTGCTAAATTACTTCTTTGGATCAATTTTCATTATAAAATGTTAAAAGTTAAGAATTTTCCTGAAGGGCTTACTATTCACGAGAAATCTTATATACTGTCGTGGCCAAGAAATAGATCCATGTGGTCCACTTAACGTTTACGAAAGATAGCTAGTATGAAAAAAATTTTCGTCAAAAATCATTAACAATTAGGAGTCATATAAAGCTTAAATTTCCTGAGAATCCTTATTTAAACACTCCTGAGCCTCACTCATTTGGTGATTTTAGCATGATTTTGACTTTCTATTATGAACAATTTTTCACACATTTTCAATTCAAAACCAATTTCTTGTGTTATTCTCTTCAGAGATAGAAGTTCCTCACGTCTACCTATCCAAAAATCTTCGTGACATTAAGTCACGTAATTCATACTGATAGCCATATAAAAGTATCTGGAATACAAGTAAATCTTAACGTTTGAAAAATTGTTCCTGATCGCTCCTGATAAAGCTTGGAACGCTTTATTCAAGTTAACTCACGCATTAGTCGTTAGACTTTGTTGCACATTATCGGCAAACAAACATTATAAAATATAAATAATGAGGCGAGATTTTTAACAAGACGTTCAATTTTTCAATTACTAGGATGATCGCAAAGATTTTGAGCTATGGCTTGTAATGATTTTCGCAGATTTCTTTCTTTTTGTATAATAATTAATAGAAGCAAATCATTTATTAATTAATACAATTCAATCGTTTATTAAGTAAGCTTAAAGAAGGGTTTAGTACCAATACGACTATGAAGTTGACTTCGGCGCAAATAATATAATAGAACTACGAACAGAGTAGGCTTGAAAAAAAGCATAAAAAAAAGAAAGAAAAAATTATACATTAATTACATAATTACTAATCATATTGAGAATTATAGTATACCATGATCCCCGTTCTGAAACTATTTACATTGACAATAGCTTGGATATTATGTGGTAGCAAGTTCCATTAACAAAAAGTGGTATTGATGATTTTATATACTTTTGACGAACTGGATTTTCGTATGCAGATATCTTGACGTAACCTTGTGAATGAGAAAATGGTACGACTTCTGCTATTAAGGAACAATGGAAGATCAGAGTCTACGATCTTCGAGAAAATGTAGTCTTTTACCTTTCTATCTCAATCAAGAAAACATACAATATACAGAAAGCCTGATAAGCGGTATAAGCCGAATGTCAAAAATATGAGAGGACCACCATCTTCCATTGACGGATAAATAAGTGAATTGTAATAGGTTGGCATAAATAAATGAAATAATTTTATATAATTACGTTTTAAGATTTATTATCGTTCTTTGTTTCGCTTAAACTAAGTATACTTCATACGTTTTCAGGAGATACACAATTATTAATAAAATTTTTCTTGTAATATAAACATTATATCTTTGTATAAGAATTCAGATTTTTCGATTTAAAATTTTGAACCGGCACACATGTCGAACCTTCATGCGACTAAATGTTTTATTTAAAATTGCTACAGGATTGTTGAATGTTAGGAGATATTGTTCTTAAATCTCAAAAAGAAAAGAAATTCTATATTAAGAGATATTTCTGGCTTATCAATAATATTTAAACAAAAAAAAAAAGATTCATTTAAATTAGAGATAAAAATAGAAAGGACGAAAAATTTAAGTTTTATCATTTCGTTTAATTAAAGTATGCAGACCATAATATAGTTATAAATAGTTTGATTTCGTTGTGATTTAATGTAGGTGTCAATAATAGGTTTTATTTAATTTAAGAAAGTGATTGATTAGAGGCTCGTTTCAGGAAATGCTTAAAAAATCATTAAAGTAATCATTTCCTTCAGTAATCTTTTGAAATGCAAAAGTCTAACTTAAATAAAGACAAATATTGCATACAAGTAGCATAAATTTACAATTAAAAAGGAAAATTACAACTACGGGAAAACATTTCCTCAACAGTCCAAGAGCAAACCGCAAAAGTTGAACACTCCCTGAAAAAGGACTTTTTTGATTTGATTAATTATATAGATTTGTTTATGCATATAAATTTAAGGTGAACATTTAACCTACCCCGCTTTATTTCATTCTACATAGTTAGTGCTTTTCCGCAACATGCACTTCTTTTCCGTTCGTTTAGTAAATTCGTTCATAGAACAATAGATAGGCTTGAGCACTTAATACCGCACTTTCATTAACCTCACGTACGAAAGAATCTGAGACGTGATACCATTTACCTAACGGCATTTGCACGTTGGAGGCTTCTTCAATGCCACCAGCCGCCCCCTGATCTACAGTTTCGGTATTAGTGCTCGTACTGGCCGCCTGTAGTAATTCTTCGTGTTCTGAGGCTGAGGAAGAGGTATTTGTTGAATCGGTACTACTACATGAATTGGAGAAATCATCACTATCATTAGCCGCCTTCATTCGCATATCACGAGCTTTTGCCTTTTCGCGTGCCAATAATTCTTCAAGCTTTTTACGTTGTTCATCGTCTTGATCCAATTCCGCTTTACTGCCTTGAGGTATAAATTTCCAACGCTTATCATCGGCTGATAATTTAGGTCTAACCTTAACATAGGCGGTGTAGTGTCCGCCATACATACCGCCCGAATGTTCGACTACCCCATATAAAGCATACAAGAGTTTCTTTTGTTTGCGGTCAATGTTTGGGAGATTTTTAACTTTTGAACCACAAAACGGGGCAATATCGAGTATCATAGGGAAACTAACAGGCCGGGTCAATTTGCGAAACATGCAACGCAGGCCGAGTTGAAAACGTTTGAGGTGTAGTATTAGAACAGCGGGCGGACTAGAGATCAGGAACTGTTTTGTAGCATTGGTGTTAACGGTTTTCGCCTTAGGATCATCGCTACTAAGCCGTTTCGTACAAGTGTCGCAACCCACTTTATTGTTTCCGGTCATCAATTCTACAGCTGTGAAATTGTTTAAGCACGACTGCACTGAACACTCGCCATCTTCGCATTGATAACGCGGCGCAATGGTGGTACTCCAGTCTGAATAACTTTGCGTGCGAACACGTTTCGTTTTACCGCGCGAAACTGCAGCTTTTTTCTGTTGTTGTAGGTCATCTTCATTATTGACTTGTAATTTATCCAGCAATTGCGTGACAGCTTGAGTCACCGCATCATCGGTTTCAGTTGATTTAATTTCACCATTCATCGAAGGGGTATTCGGAGTTGTTAACGGATTGTCATTTAAAGTTAGTTGTTTTACTAAATTGGCACCTTTCTCGCTAAGGCCCAATGATAAAACGCTATTTGTAGTGGCACTTCTATTGGCGTCAGTTACACTGTCGCCGTTGGTCTCTTCTGAATTGGAATTGGAGGAGGGTGGAAAACTGTTTATTGGATTGTTTGGACTAGTGGCGATACCAGAGTCTGCAATTATACAAAAGATGATGTAAAGTTAAATGAAATTGAAAGTTTTTCCTACCATTCTCATCTTCATCTAAAGAATCTTTGTCCATATTTTCTGGTGAATCTCCTCTTTTCTCAGCTGGACTGGACAGCTGATTGTTACCATTGGTATCGTCCACAATGTTTGTGGTCGTCGCGTTTGCTAAAGGTTTCTGTATTTTCTTTTCACTTTCATCGATAAGATTGTCTTCTACATCAGCATCCGACTGCTCGGCCGAGGACGAGCTGGCTGAAGAAATGGCGGAATTAGCGCCGGCTTCTTCTCGTGTAGCGCAACCTAGTGGAATAATGGAATCGCCCCCTGCTCCCGTCAATTCTTCAAGCATTTGCTTTTGTACCAACTTCGTATGTTGATGCTTTGCCACCCGTTTAGCTTTGCGTTCCTTCTTTTGTTCCTTTTTTAGCTGAGCTTTAGAAGATCCTGCGGTTAACGGTGCGGTGTTAGGAGCATTGTGTAGATAAAACGAGTTGGGGTTGTCTGGAGATGGTTTGCGACGCATTTGAGGTGGCTGCGATTTTTCTACACTTACTGGTAGCGATAAATCTAAAAAATATTCATGTCTGGAACTAACATTATAACATTCCTGACAGGTTAAGGTGGATACTAGAAATCCACGAAACACCTGATCGGGACGTAGTATACGATCGGCTGCCTGGTTACCATAAATTTTACATTTCTGCTTTAAGTCGTCGGAAACGGATGTAATGTCTTGGTCTTTATAACCAAGATTTTGCAAAATAACGCGTTGATAACGTTTTAAATCTTCCGATCTTGATTAAAAATAAGAAAAGTTACGCAGTTGATAGGAGGAGATAATTAATAAATTCATTTACCTAACACTTTCGAGCAAATGTCTCAACAGTTCATGGGAATCGTGTTGATCACCGCCTTGAAACTGTGGGCATTTGGAACACAATTTGTTAAAAAGTTTGCTGGGGGTAAAAACGCCACCTGAACAAGGTAATGGGTTTTAATTTTCGTATAATAAAATAAGTAAAAAAAATTATCACCTCCTGATTGTAATTCTTCTAGTGTCATGGCTAAAGCGGAGGTTAACCCACCCCAAGCAGCAAGCGAACCTTTAATAGGCGGTAAATTAACAACTTCATCATTTTTGAATTTAAATGAACCGCCCGGTAAAGTAAATCTATTAATATTCAAATATAAACGCAAAACAATCTTTACATATTTAGGAAATAATAACATACCCTTCTCCTGGCTCTGAAGATTCCTTTAGAGCCTCTAACAAGTATGGTGTTTGAGCTAGGCATTGCATTACCGCATTAAAAAAACATGTATTACCCAAATTTGTTAACCCTCGAACACGTGGTAATTGCTCCAACTCATTCAATTGTTTAATATTTACGGTGGAGCTACTACCAACTGTTGATATAGCGGTAACATTCTGATAATTTGGATACATAACCAATGGTTCTTGAATGCGTTTAGCCATGCCTGGAATAGGAGGTGGTGGCGGTGGTGGATTGTTGGCAATTGGCGTAAAATCTTCATTAGATATCAGCGGCTTTAAGGTTTCCCACGTAGTCACAATTTTATTTTCTACATTTCCCACGGTACCTGGGGGGGATTTATGCGCTAGACCTTTAACGAATTCCACACAATCCAACAAATTTTTACTGGAATCTTGTTGCACTTCATTATCGCATTCATAACACCAAATCTCAAACGAACGAGTATTCATGGTTAAAGCATGAGAATCGGAATGCGGAGTCTATAATGGAACGAAAAAAATTGTTAGTTTTCAGGGCTTTTTCTTTTCATTCTGCGTTGCAAACCTCGAAATGTTGCAGGGCATGTTTATTTTTATTACGACCACACAACTGAGTACCACATTTTAAACATAGCCACAATGTGTTGTCGTATTCAAAACTACCAACTGCATCTGATGAATCTAAAGTCTCACCGGTTGACATGCATGCATTCATTTTTTGGCACTGAGGACACTCCAACAGCAAACCAGTAGCTTTTAAATATTTACGCAATTTCGAAGAATCCACCGATTTTTTTAGATGTTGACAACTACGTGATGCAGCTGTCGGGCTACTTTTTTCTTCCGAAGAATCAGTAGAAGAATCATACTCTCTCACATCTGGTTGATGATTTTTACCCATTATTACTTCGGGCTTTTCAGCCAACTGAGAAGCTAATATTGTTCAAAGTCTAGGCTAAAAAGAAAAACGTCAATAAAGAAAATAAATTTTTTTTTTCAAGTTATCATTTTTTCTTTTTTAATTTTTAAAAAATTGTTGTAATTTCTTCAACGTCAAGTGCGGTTTTTAAAGTTTTTATGTACATTTTCGTTTGAAATTATTTTCATTTTCTACCAATTTAAAATAAAACCATTTTACACTAAAATTTGAGGTTAAATAGAAAGAATATTTCGTATTAAGGTCTCTTTATGTACTCGTTTGTTATGTATGCGTGTGCCTTAACTCTTATGCGCGAAAAACAATATGCGTAGTTTTGCTCTCTTTTTCTAATACGGTCACACACACTTAACACGCTTTATTTTTACAAATTTTCCATTACACAAAATTTTCATAAATATATTTCTGTTTTTAATAGAACGTCTTATCCAAAGTATTTATTGCCTTTTAGTTTTTTATTTCCTTACATACATCTTTTATTTATTTGTAAATATTATTCAACCTCATGCGACTCATGCAGCTCATGCGAGCATGTTTCTTTTCGCAATATTTTACAATCTTCTAATGTGGCACCATTCACCACCATTTACAGCTACTAATATATGGCCGACTAAATAGTGAAAATATTGTAAGCTAACATTGCAAACAAGCTTTTAGAATAGCAATAGCTGACACATTCTTCGGATATTGCCCGCGTTGACAATTTCGTTCTTCTATTATTTCAGAAACCTAACAATAAACACTTTCACTAATTTTTTGTGTAAAATGTGTGTTGTCTTTTTTATTTATATATATATATTTTTATTAATATAACTTACGAAGTATAAAGTATTTATCATTTGGCAATAATTTGGCTTCACTTTACGGCACTTGTGCAACGCTGCATACAAAGTCAGCTGTTTGATTATATCACAAATAAAGTAGAAATATTTGAAAAGTCTATTCATTTTTGTTTACATTGTATGAAGGTCTTTTTAATTGCTTGAATTTTTGTTTACATTCAATGGAGGTCGTTTTAAATCATTTAACATATTCTCAAATTCGACAAAGAATATTAACTTTTAAAACTTATTGTTTATTTTTGATTACTGTCGATAAACTCGTAATAGAGTGATTTATAAGTTTTTATATTTTTGGCAATTTATTTCAAAAAATTTTTTAAATAAAACAACATTCTTCATTTCACTATACTGGTATATTTTGTCGCCCATTCTATCTCAACCACAGGATTGTTAAGAGTTTCCACTGTATTGTTATCATACAGAAACGTAACATTAAGAAAAAGAGTGAGCCGATAGCCTGTGTTGCTAGTGCTCAATGTCTTTTTTAGTCTAAGAATTCATTTCATTAGTCTAAAATTAAAATAATAATAAGAAAATGAGATATATAAAATTTGTTTCATTCTATTATTCTACTTCTGCTATGCTTGTGTCCGATATCCCTTTCAACTTGTTTGGAAATCAAAATTACCATTATATGACATTATGCAGAACTATGCAGAACTTCGGAAACGTTATTTGTTTCTATGAAGCATCTAATTGTTTCTTTTACATTTTTTTTTTTCGTGTTCTTAGAAAAATTTATTAAATCACAACCTACATCATCGCTAATTCATCACTCCCATCCCAAAACGTCACTTTCAATAGATTAGTGAAGTTTTAAAATCATCAATGTATTGTTGTTCCCTCCGAGGTACCAAACGTATATTCTTAGAAATGTGCTGGACATTTAGAATTGTTCTTAGCTAAATTTTGCATAAATTATTCTTTTCATACATATGTGCATATTATATTCATAGCATTTATACAATAGTTCATGGTAGCTTCAATTTAATAATAGTTCATGGTAGCTTCCATTTAATATATTAAACTTCACATTATTAATATATATAACTTGAAATTTTTCCATTTTAAATCTTTGTAAGATTTTCAACCTCTTTTTATGTTATTTGGAATATATTTTTTGATATCATTTTTTTTATTTATTTATCTTCCTTTTAATCCATTATACAATTAATTACCACAGCAATAGAAAGAAAACATGGGACCGAAGATACAATGCTAACGAGAAGAAGGCTTGTATGTACGAATGAGCAGAAGGCGTATTAAACGTTGTTAATATAGCAGTTTACCATTTTTCTCTTAACAAATCCTTAAATTCTTAAAAAGCTTAAGGAAAAGAAACTATTAAGTTGCTTTATATCTAATTTTCTGAGCTGACGGTGTTGTCTGACATATATAAATCTCATCTATTACTAGAGGCTTCATTAAAAATGGATATGCAACACAACGTCCCATCTCATAGCATATTCGTTCGATCATTGTAAGTTTGCTTTTACTTGTATTGTGAATCGTCGCTCTTTGACTTACTCAATTCCTAAAAGAAAAAGAAGAATTACTAGCATGGTTTGCATACAGAGTGGTAGAGTTACAGCCTCAAACAGGCATAGCGCATGCTTTGCAAACGTGGGAATTCCAATTGAAAACATGAAAAACAATATGCATGGCCATAATGCTTATAAAATAAAGGTCTTTGTTAAGGATTTTACCTTTTAAGTTTTAACATTTTACAACAAAAGATATTTTTGATCCCGACGGTCTACATCGTCTATCACTGCGGTGAAAGAAGGAAATGACAGTTATATAATATGAATATCTCAATGCATTCTGAAGCATAATACCGAAACTAACTGTTTATTTAATTATCAAAAAATTAATATATATATTAAGTTATTAAGTAAACGTTTGCAGGCTACTTGACAAACTTACTTCTTTCTTTTTCAGATCATACATTAAATCATTTACGTTGATTTGAACATTTATTATATTAATAAAATAATTTAGCTTAGTATCCTAGTCTATCAATTAGTGTCTCTATTTTTACATGTGAATGATATGACAATAAACTTTTTTCCGCATATCTGAACATATGCAATTTAGTTATTTTTCCTTTATTTCTTTTCTTTTTAGTAGACAAAATACAAAATAATAAAAAAAAATAGTGTTTTTTCATATGTCTACGTAGTAATCAAAACTTCTGTAGGTTTATCTAACTTATTATAAAGAGGTTGACTATGAAATGCAACCCTACCAACAAGACTTGCAATTATACAAGCGCGGCAGCTCTCGGTCATAATTTTATAAATGAATGTTTTTAAATCCCGTTATGAATGTTTTTCCCCTACAAAAAGCTGTCGTCATGCAAACGCGTATGGTTTTTGTGAAGAAGCGGCGAATGCAAACTAAACGAGATATTTTTTAGCGCTTTCGCAAATTTGTCAGTGAAAATGCTTCCCAATGAAATTCAGAAAGATTGTATGCGAGCGAAGATGGCTGCTGATCTATATGGCAAAGGGTGCAAAACCGATGATGTAACAGTAGTACATTCATCGCTGCTTGCAATGCAGCAGTGTGGAGAGATTTTTGCCTCCGAAATTCACAAATATTTGAAATAAATGACTCAATCAACATAGGTGACATCGTGTTAGTTTCTGATAGGAAGTCCAACCAAGTACACCGGGGAGAGGTAAGTTATGTAAACTTTAATAAATTAGAATTAACCCGGATATTTAATTGAAGATTGTTGGCTTCGATGATGCATTCGAGGTGCTTAACGTTGATAGTGGCAGCAAAGAGTCGGTAAAACGAAATCTTTTACGCAAACCTTCCATGCTATTGCGGTAGTTGCCGGCGTGTTGCTTTTTGAAAAATCTCTTGCTAATAGCCCGATTAATTAGTTTCTTTGGATAGCTGCATGAAAAATCCTACTGAGTTTTACATAACGTACAACGACAGTAATAGCATCGACTTATCATTTCAAACCTTTGAAAGGAAATCGATATGCAAAGGATTATTACTAATGTTATTTAAGTTACCGAAAAGTCACATACTCCTGCAACTCAGTCAAAGTATTTGGATTCGGTTGTGACTGCTTCATCGTCATTTGAGAGTACATCTTTGAGACGATCTCTTCCGATATCCTTAAAGAGAGAATGGAATCGCTAAAGATTGGGAACCACGAACAAGGCCAATAAGTTGGAAGGATCCAGTCGTACGTGAAGTTCGACGTAATTCGAAGATTATACAGAGTGTTTGCAACGAATCCACTTTTCCACGTAGGAAATACAATACAGAGTAAGTATACACAGGTTGGAATTCACATGAATAAATTAACTTTTTCTTTTCGTTACATCAATTACAGGGGATATTTTAGATTTATGGAATGAATGCAATGGAAAAGCATGCAGGAAATGCCTCAAGGATCGTAAGAAGAGCAGTCGATTTAACCATGTTTGTCCGTTCATTTGTCAATCTGCTGTATCATAAAGTCTAGTTGCGTTTCTTAATGCCAGTAGGTCAAGTATTTCCTTATTCAAGGTTGTTTTTTCAACGTTAACTCATGCGTGGGATGTCTTGGATTGAAACAGCGTAACACCGGGAAAACATATTAGGTTCATTAACTATGTTTTCTTTACTTTTCATTTAAAAGATAGAGAAGAGGATTATTTTATCCAAATAAATCTAAATTTTTTTGTCGTTTCATGATATTCAGGAAAATGGAAATCTGTTTGGCTCTCTACGATGAGGATGACCAATGGTATCGGGCTTTGTTTTTGGCCTACTTAAAGAATGGCACCGTTTTGGTCCATTATTTCGATTATGGCAATGTATCAAAAAACATGTCAAAAGAATTAATATTCCCTCTGTACGCCCATCAAATTTACATTGATGATTGTAAGTATCTAAACGTACATACGAAACCCACCAAAAATAAAATACTTCTGTCATTTTGATGGTTTAGGCATAAAATCTGATGAACGTGCCGTTACTTTTGCAAAAAATATCCAAAAATGTCCAACAATATATGCGGATGTCCATATAAATGAAAATGGTACATACTTTGCCGTAATAAATGACTTGAAAATTCTGTGTTGTTCCTCCGTTAAAAAGTAACGACAATAATTGTATTGCTTTCCTTCACCCATACTTAACTTTATTTCACTTTTGCTTACTTCCGTTTTAAAAAAATGCGTTGAAATGCTTGTACTAACTGAAAAACCTTCTACTATTAAAGTTGTCCGTCTTAGGCGTAATTACGCGTATAATTTAGAATAATTCGCCGCATTACTATAACTGGCCGGAAGTGAGAGAAATACAATATAAGTCAACTATTAGGACCTTCTGGCAATTTTCAGCATTTTTTCATTTGAAAAAGGCATTTTTGGAGAAAATTGGCGGTACACCATATATTAATCAAAATATTTTCCATCATATTTTACAACTTTTACCAATCTTTCTGGTTACATGGCGATAGCGTGCCGAAACAATTTATATTTGTTCCATTCCAAAGCGATCCAATCGTTGATTGATCTTCGTACTTCTTCGAATTTCCGAAGCTGCGTGCCATTCAAGCCAAGAAAGAGGTCATTGAATCATTGAATTTAAACGATATATACAGTGGTATTTCGCATTACATTATCATTTTTACCTGCAGAAGTCGCTGATCAAAATTAATGGAATATTAAGGTCTTATACGTTTTAAACGACCTGATCGAGCTGGCCGCTAGAACCGACCATAGGAAATTCATCAGATATGGAAGACGAGCAGAGTCAGCATAAAAAACGTTGCGTATTTTTGCATAAGTCACGTCATTACTTGTGACTTAATCCAGTTGTTTCCCTTGCAGCCAGTATGACAGCCTGTCCAAGTGCTTTTATCTCGTTCATGTTGAAATATTAATCATTATTTTGCGTTGTGTCTATGTTTTTTCAACGGTTTACCATAAGTTAACATAGATTTATTAAAAAGAGATGTGAGTCGACTTTTTCGATGTTTATTTGATTTGCTTAAGTTCATCACTATCGCTTATAGTGAACATATACAAACGAAGTATATGGCAGGAGATGAGTAAGTAAGCAGATGGAGAGGAGAGGGTGGAATATAAAAAAGAGTGAGATTGTAACAGGCAGAAATCTTAGTATTTGTATCTCAGTATTTGTATTTGTGAAGGAATCGGCAACATCTGGTCCAATCCTATTATTGGCCAATGATTAAGCCACGTATATGCATAGGCATACATATACTTTCATATATACACATATATTTTGTCTTAAGATTTTGGTTTACCTTTCTGTCGTTTTGTGTATGCATGGAGGCAACTAAATGATATTAACTTTAAAATGACAAGCTACACATATAAGATAAAAATTTTACAAATTAAAATAGCTCCTATAAATATCATATTCAGATTGCTCTTATAATTGAGCATTAATTTCCTGAATATATTTTTCTGCTTCTCTGTGAAATTAATGATTATTTTTATCATATGAATGTAAATTTAATTTCTTGATATAAAATATTTTTGCCTCCAGTTTTTTTCTTGATTTTAAAAATAAATACACATTTGTATTGCAACAAATAATCATCACATTCCATTACCTGAACATACGAGCTGTAATTCTCACACCCTTCGTCCATTCTATCGCATATATATATCTATATATAACTGGTTATTAAGTCTTAGATAGCATTAAAAACTAATAATCGCATCTAGGATTTAATATCATCTGGTGCCTTAAATAGATAGAATACATGATTAAATTTATTAAATGCAATACGTTTTAAGGATGAATGGTTCCATAAATTTCGTTAGTAAGCAACATGTCATAATGATGTTTATTAAAATGAAAGTAATAACATGAAAGTACCAATGATGCACGTTGAGCACTGTTTACGGTACGGTCCTCTCCCGCCAATTAGACACTATTGTTTTAGAGCTGCAATGCAAAAATTCGGGGTTGCCGATGTTCATCATGATGCAAAGAATCTTCGTAGGTATCGAAAATCATAGATAGAAGTTTCTCTAGAAGTAAATTGTATAGATGTCATTTTGCTACCTGCATCCATTTATTGATCATCCATTTTATTGCATTATTACAAGTAGAAAATGAGTGAAATTATTTAAAGAAGCTGTCAGGAAATTCTGAAAGTTTTCATAGCGATCACGCAAAAATATATACACACAATATACGCATTCGTACGTACAATAAGCTTAGGATTCTGAATTGATTTAGGCACCATTGGTCCCATATCACTCTATTTTTCGAACAGTGGAAATGGAAAGCTGAAAGTCCACATAACTGACGGGTGCGTAATTAATTTCAAATATTACAATGATCAGCCAGCCAGATTGTAAAGCTATAAGAAGAATTTTAAAGAAGCAAAAATTTGCTAGCTATCGATGTTAATAACTCAATTACCTCTGTATGAGATCGGGTTCAAAATTTTAGCCGCGCAGGTAAAAGCCAAAAGTGACCAAGTTACTGTCCGTTACTGTCAAATCTCAAGTTCCATAGAATTTTCTTTGGTCGCAGCTACAGCGATTGCTTAGTTGATAAAGGCATAACACTCCACGATTGGCCATATACTCAATAGACTGCGGCCACCATCTATCTATATCGTTGCCTTTCCTCTCTTCTTTTTGACAGTCGCCATGCCACACTAAAGTGGAATTGATCATATAGAAAGAAAGAAATAAGAAAATCAAACCCAATGTACAAAAAAAATATTCGTGGAACTTGTTTCTTATCATCGTTTTATTGGTAGAGTGAGATTGAATTTTTTCTTTCGACAGTAGCTTGCAGAAGTGCACTTTAAGTGCACCCGTACACTATATGTACGTACACGGTTGATTGACACCAAATTCTGCGTCGTCTAATCATCAAAAAATTAAGAGAAGCAATTAAAACTTTGCAAAAATGGAAAACTTTAACCAAATGGACTTTAACCAATGGACAAATGCGAAAATGAACATTTTCGAAACATAATAAAAAAAAATAAATGAAAACTTCCGTATATTGTTGTCAATAACTTAAACAATCGCGTACATTTTGCATGTATACGCTGTCGAATTGAAGTAGAGTCACGTCCATCTCTCTGTTGCTTACTTTTTGCTATTTTTGTGTTGTCTTTAAAAAGTTAGGTTAAATCAGTTTATTAAACGTATTTTCAGAAATTGAAAATGCATTCCCTAGTGCATATCAATTTCTACCGCTCTTATATGCTAGTCTTACGTCAGATAAATTGAATGCTTTACTCTTTGAGTAATCTCATCTTAGATTGTAAGTACGTTATTATTATAATTGCATTCGCGCTATAAATAGTTTATGAGGTTTTTCTTCAATTTTCAATCATATAGATATTCCCCATGGAATCTAAACGTTTTACATGACCATCAATAAGGAAATAAATTTTTATCGTGCTGAATAATGCCAATATCGGGCTAAAAACCTTCTCATAACCGACCTTTTCAGATTATTATTATATTATTAGCCCAGTTATTTAGGCATGTTATGTTAATTATGTTATTCCATTCCATATTAAATGAACAAAGTTACTCTTTGGAAACGTAATTTTAAATGAATGTATATGCGCGTACATCTGGCATTGGTCATATTATGCTATAGTACCAGCTTGTTTATACGTAAGAAGCGCCACCATGCATTCTACGTTAGTGTTATGGCGCAAAAATATGTTCACTTCTAAAGCCGTCTTCATTCACAATAATGTTATTGGACGACTTTTGCCAGGGGAGAAAAGGTTCGTCCACATTTGTGCATTTGTTGAACATTTGCCCATTTATTGGGATTTTGATTATGATTTGAAAAGTTTACCGAGGAGAACAAACGAAAGCGATCAGTTGTTTTTCTTATCGTTTTCGTGACGCTAAGATCAAAAATCATTAAAATCAGTTGTCTTGTATAACCTATGTACAATTATGGCTCAACCAAATTTACATAACACACTTAAGGACCAGTTCGAATCAAGAATTCACCCACAACTATCACAAACGGGTTGGACTAACTGAAAACGGCTTTTAACTTGTGCGTTTATTTACAAAATATTGTCGTACCTTATGAAGATGTTACTTCAAATCCAGTTCATTCTAGCTAAGTAATAAAATCCCCAAAAGAGGGAAAAATCAAATGCACATTCGGAGCGCGTCATGCAGCCGCCGGCCGAGGAAAACGCGTACCAGAAAAGCAGGTTAACGGATTAAAAATGAAGCTATAAAATTAGGTGCTAGTAAATAAAATAGAAATTTGTTGAAGGGAGGGTGAGTAGAAAAAGAATTTCGAGTTGAGCAGTCGAAAGTATTGCCAAAAATAAATTGTGAATAATCCTACATTTAGCGAATATAATCGTAAATAAAAGAACTTTGAAGTGTATTTCTCTTGAACAAAATATTCACGACCCAATGATATGGAGTGTATCTTAGAAAAGCGAATTTCATAACAATATATACAATACACATTAATATACATGAGTTTCTTATGTTTCAATGTTATTAGTGAAGATGTTCGCTCTGCCTTCAACTACGCTATACAATGTAGTGGGGGGTGTTGAAAGATTCGACTAGAGCTAAATATAAATATAAATTTTTTCTTCTTTTCTCCTCAATATGATTATATTATTATCTCTCTGTTCTTTCTCTTGTTCGTCTTTAATGACATGCGTTATCTTAAGTAAACTGAACCAGTCAGTCCTTGTGAAATGTACATTTATCTCAGCGAAGAAACTGACAAAAGGAGTTTTACGTTTTACTTTGAACACAGCGCTACGATACGTGCAATCTGGATTTCATCTACTAATTAATTGTTTTCCTTTAAGCTTTCTTAAATTTAAAGTGGAGTACATATACAGAGAGTCAAAGCATACTCAAGCACATACTGGAATAATTAATGAAATTTCCGTAAAGACTTAAAAGCGTTTTCTATTGTATGTGTATTTGCGTTTTCCCTTACAATCGATTTCTCTAAATGGAGGTAAACTGATT